TGAACAGCATTTTCGTAGTACACGCTTCAAGATCAAATACACAGAGGAGAAGCTAAGGCAATTCTGCTCAGGATATCAGTGGTCTGTGGAACATAGGTTGAAAACCACTGCCATAGGAGATGCTTAATGTTACTGTTCATTTGCCAAAAGATATCTAGGCATAAATACAGACTGCCCACAGAATTCTGCAAGTAAAATCTTCTGTCTGTGAAAGGAAAACAACAGTTACCTGAATCCTGAGAGCAGCTGAAACCAGTGTCCCCTGTGCTGCTGCTGCTGTGTCCTAAAGGCCGCCCACCTGCCATGAGAGCTGTGAGATGGGGAGATAGTCCCAAATCTGCAAAACAGTTAAATTATCACAGAATTGTGCTCTGTATGGTAGATCTATTGTAATATAGCATCTTCAGACAAATCCCACATCCAAGTGCCCAATTCGATCCCTGACTTTCCCTTCTCCCCATTTGCTTGTGATAAAAGAACAAAAAACATTCTACTAATTCAGCTGTCAAACCATCTGGATTTCCCACCTTGTTCATGTCACCAGCTGCCAAATGCTTCTAGACTCTTTCCACAAAGCAAGCCTGCTGTCTATTGTTCTCCAGCAATTTGCAAATATGTGCAATTTACTGGGGGAGCCAATTATATTTGGAAATATTTGCACATATATATGCACATAAATATGTACTGGAAAAAAATGTATCAGACACTCTCTAGTCAAGGGATTAAATCTAGTAGCCAGAAGTAGCAATGAAAGACAAGTGTAATGGTGGGATGATAACTAGTGAGGGCAGGGGCAAGTTCCAGATTCTTTACAACCCTCAGATGCTGGAAAGGGGGAAAACTCTGCGATTCTTAATAAGATACAGTCTTAAGATCTTGACCTTTTCTATCAGTCTCTATCTAGCCAGTAGATGTCTGATAAATTGGAAGCTGCCCAGCCTACTCTTGCAAATGGAAGAAGCTTCCCTGGCAATGCTTCCAGTCTTTCCAGAGCCTGTCTCTGGGCATGTCTACATTAGGAAATTATTTTGAGATACCTTATTTTTAAATAATAACTCCTGAAATAACTATTTTGAAATAGCACATCCACACTACAGGGACGCTTCGAAATTAGTCCAAGGCTGGTTCCCCTAATGTGGACGCGCTACCTTAATTTAGAGCCCCAGGAAGCACTGGGGAGTAATTACCTTGAATGACTCTGGGGCAGTGATTCCCAACCTTTTTCCCATGGAGGAACCCCTAAAATAATTTTTCATATCCTGAGGAACCCCTACCTATGAAAATGTTTGCTTGGCCAGAAAAAGTTGACAGCAGGGAGCGCAATTCAATTACTGCTAAATTACTGTCAAGAAAATGTATTTGTAAAGAGCTGTTATATATATATGTAAGCATTGTAAGAAAAAAAAATGTATTTATTCCATGATTTCTCGCAGAACCCCTGACGATGGTCTACAGAACCCTGGTTGGGAAACACTGCTCTGGGGAGTAGTTATTTTGAAATAGCAGCAGTGGAGAATCCACACTACCCCTATTTCAAAATAACTATTTCAAAATAAGCATTAATGCCTGAGGAAATCAGGAAATACCAACTGTAATTTTGAAATAACAACAAGCCCCTTAATTCAAAATAATGGGCTTGGTAGTGTGAATGCTCCACTTGTTATTTCAAAATAAGGGAGTTATTTAAAATAGCTCCCTAGAGTAAACCAGGACTCTGAAAGCTACCTGGATTCCATAATGAAGATGGGAGTTTCCAGTGCCCTCACCTTCCTTCCATGTTTTGTTTCTTTTTTCCCCACTGATAATTCCAGTGCTTTCCTCTACATATAACTCTCCCAAGCATTACCATGAAAGTGCAATTTCCAAGGTGTGCTGAATTAGCAATCATAATAATGATCAGAATCTTGCTAATGTCATTATGCTAGAATATGACAAAGCTCTGAGCAGCAGCAGAGGCACTGATGGTGCCTGTCTACAGACTCAGGAAGACACTACAGGTAGTCCCCGAGTTATGAACGCATCGACTTATGACCGTTCGTCCTTACGACCAACCTCCCATTAAGCATATCCCTGAGTTACGAATGCACAATCGCACTTACGAACAGCGCAGTCACATTTAATGAATGGGGTCTGACTTATGAACAGATCGAGTTACAACCAAGTGCTTGGTACGTAACTCGTTCGTAAGTTGGGGACTATCTGTATTGTACTGGAATAGTTTCATTACATTTATAAAGTTTTCTTCACAACCACGACTAAAAACGTAAACAAACACTCGCATTTTTTGGTGTCCCTAGAAAAAATTGCCATTGGTGAGACACCTGCATTTTTCAACCTCTGTACATAGTTGACTGTATCGGACACTCGATCGTAAGAAGTGGAGGATTACTGCAGATAAGAGGAAGGGGATAGGCTTGTGCTTGCTAGAGAATTTAAAATCTGGTGCCTAACATCAATTAACTCTTATCCAAACCCCATTGAAATTAATGGAAAAATTCTCATTGAATTTGATGGGTTTTGAATCAGGGCCATCATGAGGAGAGGGACTGCTGCTCCCATTTCTAAACTGAATACAAATTTTGCACTTGCAGAGAGCAATAATATTTGTGTTTCAACAGCGTATTTTCCTATCCTGCTTTACCAAGGAAAAAACTACTGCTTCCCAGCAGTGACACAAATTGGTCTGGTACGTCTTGAACAATACAGAATTTTTTTAATACTAAGAAGCATTGGGAATTAAGGAATGGTTCTAAATATCTGATGGATTTCTTTGAGATGTTTATATAAAACTACTTTGACAAGGAATGGGGTATATTATTATTAGCACCTACAACTGACTTGATGCTATACACTATGCAAAAATAAAAACAGTCCCAGGCCCACACAGTTTACAATCTAAAATGCATGCAGAAAAAGGATTTGATGGACTGGGAAATCTAGAAATGCAGATCACAGTCTTCTATGGGTTCACTGCTTATGAGCCTTGTGGGAGAAGATGTTTTTTTGAATGGACTATCCTTAACTTAAAACTCTCACTTCAGACTGTAAAGGTTTTACCTGATATTGTTACAAGGAACATGTAAGTTTATGGTAACTGGAAGACATTAGAGAAAAAAATATTTTCTTTATTTGTTTCCATTTGTTTACTCTGAGCATTTGATAGAATTTTGTGTCTAGTCAGTTTCTCTTGCATGGTTGGTCAATTTCAGACCTTGCTTGCATTTCCCTTTCATTCAGAAGAGGGTGGTGATTTCCCCCTATCTCATTCTCAAAAACAGAATTTTAACTTTCCAAAATGTTTTGACTTCAGGCATAGATCAGGAAAAGTTTAGCCCTACAGGTAAAAATTTGGGGATGTTACAATTAACTAACTACTTTGTCTTAGAATGGAAACTTTGGAACAATGTTAACTATGGCTTTTGTTATGACTCCAGCTAAAATGACAACCTTACCAAGGAGAGAACTAACACCACTCGGAAAACATTTTTATATTAAGCTGAATACATTTATACTTTGCTTATCATAGCTATATTGGGCCTCATTCTACATTTTATGGCATTATTTTTACATCCATGTAACTTCACTGAAGCTGGAATCAGGCCCGCTGAGTATATTAATCATATGAGAGTGACAGTGTATGCGTGTGAGAGAGAAAGAGCGAGGGAGAGAGAGAGAGGGAAAGAAAGAGAATGATAATTTAGCTGTATCAAGAGATGGAGATGCATTCCCATCAAAGGCAAGGAGCTCATCAGCTTTCCTTCAGATGGAAGATATAATTTGAAAAAACAGTCCACTGGGAGCCTTCTTGAGCACATCTCTAGTGTGCATTTGCACAGTCTTGAGACATGCAACATGTGTGCAGATACAAAGTATAAACCTCACGGGAAGAACATTTTTTTATCTCAGTGTTTGTTACCTGTGATCCTATTGGAAATGCTGAATAATCTGGATGTCCTGTGACGCTGAACAAATGACTCCCGGTAATATCGGTCCCCAAAGCACATTCCTAATAGTTCTTTGCGCACTGTCTTGTTCCAGAGTCCATAAATCAGTGGATGGCAAATGGCACTTGAAAAAGATAACCATGTTGCTAATGTCTCCAGAGCAGGAGAAATGCTATTTTTCCCCCAAAGAGCTTCTGATGTAATTACTATCATGTAGGGCCCCCATGTGATGACAAAAGCACCAATGACAACCAAGATAGTTATGAAAGCTTTGCACTGATTGGCTGAGTAGACAACCCCTTGGAAAGCATTCTTTCGACTGCCTGAAGAGGAGGTAGAGGTGCTAGAGTTCTTTCTCCCATTCCTCTGGGTGCCCTCCTCGACAATGACCACGCTACCACAGTGAATCTTACGTGCTTTAATCCTAGCCACACGAAATATGAATCCATAACAGATCATCATAACCAGGAAGGGCAGCAAAGCACACCAGATCTGCCAAAAGACTGTGTAGCCTGCCTCCTTATGCCACGCAGCCACACACATCCATTTGAACTGATCAAACTCCAAGGAAGACCACCCAAAGAGAGGCGGAAGGCAGCCAATGAGGGAGTGTAGCCACACGTACACAAGAGCGACAACTGCTCTGTTTCCTGTAATCTTCATTGGATACACCATTGGATACAAGACAGCATAATACCTGGGAAACACAAAAGGAGATATCGGTAGTATCATAGAAAAGTATAATGAGCAAAGATCTGGTTTACTGCTTAAGAACCAAGACCCATCACAGTCCAGGGCTATGTCTAGAGTCTAGACTGCAGAGCTTTTCAGGAATACCAGAGGTATCCCTTAAAAGCTCTGCCGCATCCAAGGAACACGTCTGCTTTTTTGGAACAGTTTCTGAAAAAGTGGACATGTTCTTTTGGCATTCCTGTATTCCTCTCGGTGAGAGAAATAAGGGATGTTCTGAAAGAGGCGTTTTTTCCAAAATTTGGCCCCATGTAGGCAGGCCAAATTTCAGAAAAGCCTCTTTTGGAAAAAAAGCTGAAAAAAGATAACACAAATTGCGGTTTGCAATTTGCATATCTTTTTCCAACTATTCTTTGCAGTGTAGACATAGTCCGGGGAAGTTTTCCACTCCCCAAACCTACATGCAATTAGAGTCACCATTAAAAAAATCATGTTTAAAAAATTATTTTCAGTTGAGAACTCAAAAGTCAAGATGTGCCCAAGATCAGACTGCATATGCAACCTGAAATCTGCTTCCTGACCATAAAAACATGAGACTGGCCATACTGCATCAGACTAAAGGTCCATCTACCTCCGTATCCTGTCTTCTGACAATAGCCAATGCCAGGTGCTTCAGAATCTTGCTGTATTAGTGAGATTTTAGAATTATACATGATTACATAGATGATATGCTATTATAGCATCAATTGATTTTAACAATCTTAGATGCATGCGCAGCATCTTGAAATACTAATTTAATTATATTCTACTCTTCTATTTCACGATTTTATATGTAATTACAGGAAAAAGGTATTATATTGGGGAGGTAATGTTGTCTACTGGGTAGAGCACTAGACAGGGATTTATGGATCTAGATTTAGCTCTGCCACTGGTCTTGAGCAAGTCACTTCACCTCTCTCTGTGCATCAGTTTCCCCATGTATGAAATGAGGATAAAGGTACTGGCCTCCTTTGACTTCCTCCCATGCTTCAAGATTTGCTGCTGAAAAGTGCAATACAAGAGCTAAGTAACTGTTATTACTAATTACTATAATTGCAGTGGTTTCCAACCTTCTCCATCCTATACTCACATTAAAAATGTCTGGGACCTTCCACTACCCATTTAGCCTGAAGGAAGGGGAATGAGATCATGGTTCCCAGGTTGAGAATCCAAGTTACTTTGTATTGTTTAAAAACTGTATTTAATTGGGTCTCTGCAACCTTAACTCTGACTTTTCACTGCTTTATCCATGGAACCTTCACATTCTCTTATCAAAACTTTTTAGATTGCTACATGTATAGATTCTGAGGCCAAAAGGGACCATTGTATTCATCTAGTCTGACCTCTAGAACATTCCCAAAGAATTCCTAGAGCAGATCTTTTAGAAAAAAAAATCCAATCTTGATTTTAAAATAACTAGTGATGAAGAATCTGCCACAACCCTTGGTAAATTGTTCCAATGGTTCATTTAATTACTCTTTCTGTTCAAAATTTTCTCTTTATTTCCAGCCTGAATTTGTCTAGCCTCAACTGTCAGCCATTTGTGTTATACCTTTCTCTGCTACACCGAAGAGCCCATTATTAAATATTTGTTCCCCCTTGTACATAATTATGGACTATAATCAAGTCACCCCTTAATCTTCTCTTGGTTAAGCTAAATACAGTAAACTTCCGATAATCCGGCACCTTTAGGACCCAGGGGGTGCTGGATTATCAGATATGCCGGACTATGGGAAGGGGGGGCTATGAGGGGTCTGGGGTGAGGGGTGGGGTCGGCGGGGAACTGCGCAGCGTGGGTGAGGGCGGCGCTGCAGGACCAACCCGGCAGCACCCCAGCTGCTCTGCTCCCGGCTTCCCCAAGTCAGACGCTGGTCAGTTTCAGCAGTGGGGGACTTGGGGAAGC